TCTAAAAACACAATCATGGTAGTGTGTCCAGTATCCCGGCTCGCAGTCCACTGGCTTACAGCCTTGGTGACGAGTTGGGCAGTAGAGTGATGGCGGCGGAAGCCATACTGGTCTTTATGGTATGGGCACTTGTCGTCAAATAGCTGCTGGAGCTGTCTAAGAACGACTTTCTCCAGGGCTTTGGCAATGACACTACTAAGGGATATGGGTCGGTACTGGGACGGGTCTGATCTGTCACTGCGTTGGGACTTTAACACTGGGCAAATGTTCGCTTCTTTGAACGTGGACGGGAGTATACCAGAAGAAAAGGAGGCATTAAACAGGATTGCTAGAGATGGGGCAAGAATGTAAGCGGCAGACTTCACAAGACAGGGCAGTATATTGTCTGGACCCGGGGCTTTGCGGGGCTTCAGGTCTAGTAGAAGAAGTTCTACTTCCGCAATGGTGACAGATGCGAACGACTCCAAATCGGTGGAGGAGACCGGCCCGAGCGGTACGTTGTAGGAGGCATCGGGGTCGTGAACGATTGAATGGAAATATCTATTCAGCGTCTCTGCTTCGACTGAGGTTTTGGGTTTAGCGGGTTTACGTTTTGTTACGCCATTGATCGCCGACCAGAACTTCCGAGGAGATTGTTCATAGTCTTGACAGAGCTCCAAAAAATATTTGTTGCGGAGCTGGCGATACAGGTTGTTGGATCGGGTGCGCAGTTGCCTGAATTGGAGTGCAGTAACTTGATCTTGGAAAGCTGAGGCTTTTAATCGGCGGAAGGCACTTTTGCGTTGTCGTATCATGTTCAGTAGCTCCTCAGTCATGAAAGGGCATCTTACTTTAGAGGTAGGCCTCCCCGCTCTTCGTGAGACAATTGGCGCGAGTTCATCCAGTGCACAGTTGAACTTCTTCACCCACTCAGCGGCCATTTGGTGGGGGTTCGTGGATGAAAAAGAGTGTAGGGATACCGATTTCAGCAACTTGTGGAATTCCTGCATACAGAACGAACTATAGTCTCGACTGGGCTGCCTTGGCTTGTGGTCTGGCGTGTCAGGCTGCAGGGAAGTGATAGGCACGGAGGTTGTGATGATGCGATGGTCAGAGAATTCACAGTCAAAGACTGAGGCGGTTGTGGCGTCTTCCGAATTCGTGAGGATGCAGTCAATAGAGGTTTGGGTTTGCCGTGTAATGCGTGTAGGGGCGTTTACTAAGTTGGAGAGATTAAGGGGCAGGAGGATGGTGTGGTATAGGGCTTTGTAGGTACTTGATTGCTTGTCCAGGAAGTTCACATTGAGGTCTCCCAACAAGTACAGCTCTTCGCAATCGGCGCAGTCTACAGCTGCAGCAAGACTGTCCCAGTAGTCAACGGACTGACCTGGCGGGCGATAGATGCAGCCGATCAATATCTCGGATCCTCTTTGTGGCGTACATCGTATGCAAAGAAGCTCTAGGGCATCATGTGAGTAACGTTCGTCCAGGGAAACTCTGAGGGTTTCTTTCACATAAAGGCACACACCGCCACCTTTCTTGCAGGGGCCGCATGCTGTGAGACACGAGCAGCTTGTCATGCATGGTCTATCTCTACGGTAAAGGATGGTTCCACGGATATGCACTTCCAGGTCAGAGACACTGTTATCTAGCCAGGTCTCGGATACGGCTAATATATCCAGTTGCTGTTCTATCATTATGCTTTCAACTTCACACAGTTTGTGGCGTAGACTGCGTATATTGATGTGGCCAATGTTAAGTGTACTACTGTGCTGGGTCAGGTGGTGGGTGTGTGGGTGAAACGGAGCGGCGTGTGGATTAAGCTTCTTGCTGATCCGATTGGTGTGTTGAGCATGCGGGTTCAAGGGGAGTGGGTCGGTGGTGTGAGCCATTATTATGCTTTAACGGGTTTGGTGGCCCAGGCCTCTGTACCAAATCGCCACTCTCTTACAGTACGGCCAACTTCGTCAGGCCAGAACGATTCTTCCGCGACCTTCTTGGCGTCCGTGACCAAGACTGTAATACGAGCAGAGGCTGTTCTAAAGTGAACGGAGGTGTACACGACGCTTTGTACTACAGATACACCTTGTTTTCGCAAGAGTATGCTACTAACAGCATACTAGTGCAGTGGTCCCTCTATAGTCCGGCACCATTTGTGCCACGAAAATCTGCTGGATTAGGGAGGGTGCTGGATTAACAAATCGGATTTACTGCTGCAATGTGCATGAAGAGGACATTTTGGCTACTGAAAATTGTGCTGGTTTATCGAGGGTGCTGGGTTATAAAGTGCTGGATTAGAGAGGGGCCACTGTAGCATACTAGTAGCATATTAGTAGCAGAGAGTCATTGACTCTGATGCTTCTGTGGTCCTTGCTGCTGCAGAGTGCTTTCGGTAACTATCCGTGGTGTGTTTGGCTACTGTTCTGCTTCATTCCCCCCCCCCCCCTTTTCATGATTTTGCATGTTATCATTTTCTCGGATTCCGGTTTTCCACTCTGTTATGTTCGAATCCATAGTCTGTCTGTACATGATTTGTACGCAACTTCTCATTGTTTTTTTTTGTTTTTGTTTTTTTACCAGGCGTGGGCCATCCCCTGATCATAGGTGCCAACACATTTTGCGTTAAAAAAACTAGTAGCATACTAGTAGCATACTAGTAGCATGCTAGTAGCATGCTAGTATGCTACTAGTAGCATACTAGTAGCATACTACTAGTAGTAGCATGCTACTACAGTCCATTTCAAAACTATAGACGCGTACCTAGGCAAAAACCGTTATGCCAGCATCTATACCACATAAAATCTGTGATCACTTTGTGCATAAATTTTTCCAAATTGGGCGTCTGTTATCCAATCCTTTAGAAACTATATGAGAGTAATTGTGGAGCGATCCTGAGCAATATTCCGAAAACTATTCTCAAAAAGTTCCAGCCAAATTTGAAATATTTCAAAAACCCTACGCGTCTATAGTTTTGAAATGCACTGTAGTAGTAGCATACTATGAAAGAGTCTAAGTACATGTACCCCTGAGTTTCACTCGTTCTAGCTGATTCTGTGTCGCTCGAGGAGAAGAGGGGGGGGGGGGGGGGGGGGGAGGAGAGAGAGAGAGAACGGTTAAGCGATTGGGATCGCAACTTTGGCGATAATTTGTTACGGAAAGTTGAGCGACAGTGTGGATAGCAACACCTTGACAATACTTCGAAGTCAACACGGGCATTCATGCTCTGAGAATCATGACGGATGAATGTTATCTCTATTATCGTGTACACAAGTACTGAAAGAGATTGATGGCATCAGTGTCTGCTCTAGGATGGTAGGACAGCCGGGTACACGACGTGTACCTGGCGCAACCATTTCAACCAGGTCGGAGCCGGGTACACATGTATCTGGCGCTGTCTCACCAGCCGAGTCACATGCTTTGACTGGTTGGTTGGTTTATTTTAATTCGGACAATAAACGGGAACTAGGCCCAATGATATAAAGGCGAATGGATAAGCCGCATTTAGAAAAGAGAGGACAATAAGAAAATTACCAAAGAAGAAGAAGTATCTGACACATACATGTACAAGCCATGTAGTCAGTCCTTTCAAAGTTGTTGTTGTATACTTTATTTATAGTGGAAATCAAAACAGGCAAAATGCCTAATAACATTGGACCCACTGTGAATAACATGTTAAAGGATATTGTGGAAAAAAGTATATACAAGAGAAAAAGAGAAAGGAAAAAAGACGGAAGGTTGGTTGCAACGAACAGATATCAATCCAGTAAGCATTGGAAAACCTATGTCGCTGATAATATATACTGCAAGGCTTGAGATTTAAAATCCAAATACCTATTTGAACATTTTGCTGCTGGTGGCAATCTATTCCACATAATGGCTCCAGCGTGCGTTAGGCGCTTAGCAGAACGAGCAGTGCTAGCAGGTGGGACCACAAGCAAGTTGCTTTGGCCTCCCCGAGTGCGAGTTGAGGGCACGACAGCAAAAAAGGACTCAAACAGGGTGCTACATGCATCATGCAAACATCGCCAGATGAAACAAAACATATTCAAGTGCACAGAAACCTGTAGATCACATACATGCATTCGATTTAGCAGGGGAGCAGTACTGGTCCACGGTGGCGACTTGCAGACTGCCCGAGCGGCACGTTTGAACAGCCTATGTAGCCGTTGTTCCTGGGCAACTGTCAAATACGGGTAGTAACTAATAGAAGCATACAAAAATTCAGGCAAAACGATAGATCTGAAGTAGGTGAGTCGGCATGGATACGGCAGCGAGGAAGCATGTCGCAGCAGGACAGCAATTTTGCCGGCAACACGACGAGCAACATGGTCCACCATTGTGGTCCAACTCATGTCCGAGTCAAAATGCAGGCCAAGGTATTTGGCAGATGTGACTACTGGTAGGACTTGTGAATTGCATACA